TACTTGTGATAAGGAGCACCCAAAATCGCTATTGGCATCATCCCGGTCCCTATATCAAATGCACGCTGCTTGATGTAGGCTTGCCCAAACCCTGATCTCGAGCTCGAGGCTTTTGGAAGAGTTTCGTCTTGGGCGATGTAGGTGTCTCGCACCATACAATGATGCAAGAACTCGGAGGTGCTCGACCAGTCAGTCTGTTCTGTTATGTGAGTGCTTAGCTCTTGCAAACATTCGCGCCTTGTTGCACAAGAAGGGCCGTGTAATCAAGCATTGGCATTTACTGTACATGCATTCATGCATTCATTGGCACAATATGGCGGCAGGGGTGTGGCCTTATTGGTTGCATGTCCTTAGCACAGCGAGTGCCTTGGACCAGCTCACACAGGGCTCCTAATGCCCGCTGCCTCAGGCGCTTTGCCGTGGTGGTCCTTGGCAGACAAGGTCTCGGGAGCCAGCTTGGAAAGCAGCACCGGCAGGCACCCAGCTGCCCTTTGCGCAGGGACTCTGCAGAATCTGCCACCGTTGTCCCTGGCAGACAAGGTCTCGGGAACCAGCTCGTAGAGCAGCTTTAAGACAGCCTCCTGCCCGTTCTCAGCTGCCCAGTGTGCGGGGACTTGACCGTCGACGTCGCGGGCAGAAAGGGTCTCGGGAACCAGCTTGTAGAGCAGTTTCAAGACAGCCTCCTGACCGGTTCGAGCTGCCCAGTGTGCGGGGACTTTGCCGCTGTTGTCCCTGACAGACAAGGTCTCGGGAGCCAGTGTGGAAAGCAGCTTCAAGACATCCTCCTGCCCGTGTTCAGCCGCCTTGTGTGCAGGCATGCTGCCGTCGGCGTCTCGGGCAGACACGGTGTCGGGAACCAGCTCGTAGAGCAGTTTCAAGACAGCCTCTTGTCCCTTTTCAGCTGCCCAGTGTGCAGGGACTTGATCGTGGACGTCTTGGGCAGAAAGGGTCTCGGGAGCCAGTTTGGAAAGCAGCTTCAAGATATTCTCCTGCCCGCATTCAGCTGCCCTGTGCGCCGGGGCCCTGCCACTGTTGTCCTTGGCAGATAAGGTCTCGGGAACCAGCTCGTAGAGCAGCTTTAAGACTGCCTCCCGGCCGCTTTCAGCTGCATAGTGTGCAGGGACTCTGCCATCGATGTCTTGGGCAGACAGGGTCTCGGGAACCAGCTCGTAGAGCAGCTTTAAGACATCCTCCTGGCCGCTAAGAGCCGCCAAGTGTGCAGGTACGCAGCCTATGTTTTCCTTACTGCCGAGGGTCTCCGGCACCAGGTCGTGGAGGATCGACAGGGCGGCTGTTTGTCCAACCATAGCCGCAAAGTGTGCAGGGACTTGGCCGTCGTCGTCCTGAGCAGACAGTGTCTCGGGGGCCCGCTCGTAGAGAAGCTTTAAAGCAGCCTCCCGGCCGTTCTCAGCCGCCAAGTGTGCAGGGATCCAGCCTCTGTAGACCTTCGCAGAGAGAGAGTCTGACCCGCAGCTCTTCAGCAGCTCGAGATTATTGAACACGCATGCCCAATGTGCCTCGTTGAAGCCCTGGGCCAAGGCTGCAGGCAAAATTGGGCGGCCTCGTTGCAGGCGCATGAAGTGATCGAACACCACCGTCGCCAGAACTGCAATGCACGCCCCCGCATTGCAGATCATGAACGCCAAGAGCAGTGTGTGGGGTTCGCTGACGGCATGCGTACGGTACCACACGATGCAAAGGCAAACGAGGACCTCGAACCCCCGCCAACAGCACAACACTGTTTGCACTCTGTGATTATCTGCGAGTGATCCAGAAGCAAAGATCAGCATGGGCGTCGATAGGTAAGCAACGACCATGGAGAGAATGGCCTTGGCCGCCGGCATGGACGTGTAGGGATCCCAGTCCCACTCCAGAAAGGAACGGAGAAGCAACGCCACTGCCAGAAACTCGGCAATCATCAGCACCGGCAGCACGAACTGACCGTTCTCATCGATATCCGCACTTGGGTTCCGCAGGGCAGCTCCCAGCGTGCACCAGCACAGAAGCCGGCTGGCCACGTCAGCAAACTGCAAAAGAAGCAGCTGCCAGCCCGAAAGACCCGAGGGAACCGGCGAGACGGGTTCTAGCGGAACCAGTGTGAAGCAGATGTGTCCGAGGGCTTTGGCAATGCTGTAGCACGAGAAGGCTATCGAAAAAACCTGAATGGCTGTGTCCATGGGGTCCGTTTGCAGGGTCTCTTGCTCCAGGCACAGCAATGTGTAAGTTTGTAACAGGCATTGCGGGAATCCTTCCAACACTCCGTTGAAAGTCTGCTCGATGAGCCAGTCTCGCTGATACCGCTCTGGATCTCGGTAAGTCTCATAAGCTGTGGTCAGAAACTCCACTTGAAAAACCTGGCGGAGCAAGGCAAGTAGACCTGGCTTGGGCCGGCCTTTCTCGTCGAGATTCTTCCAGTAGCAACGGTCATCGTCAAGCCCCTTCTGCCAGATCCAGCGCTTGTAGCCGAAGCATGCCAGGCCTGCTAGGGCCGGGATGCTCAAGGCCATGGGCCCAAAGAGCCAAAGGCCCTGGGAACAGTAGTAGACGCCCACTTTGATGTCCAAGGCCACATCCACAGCCAGCATGATGGCCTCCAAGAACACCCGGACCCTCGTCTTCGTGTCAGCAGAGACCCCACAATCGCTCTCACAAGCGCAGCACGACCCTTCCGCACCAGCGAAGCAGCTGTCCTCCTCCTGCTGCAGCTCTTCGTAGGCTAGGTCGTTATGCTTGGGCGTCTTGCAAAGCCAGTACAGGAGACCAGGTAGGAGGATGCACGCGCACGCAGCAGCCATCCACCACGGCCAGTCGACTTGATGCGCTTTGCTGGCGATGCTCTGGAGGGAAGCGGTAGTAAAGTTCACCGCTCGAAGCCCCTGCTGCTCCACGAAGTCCACATCCTGGTAGAAGAAACAGCTGATGTTCTGCTTGATGCCCCCATCTGGGCAGTGCGATCTAAGCTGCCTCGCAGCAGCACTCATGAGCACCGCGGACGCTGAGCCCTGGCATCGCCAGTCCAGGGCTGCTCACGGGAGATGGGATATTATCCTCGAAGCCAAACGATGCAGCGATAGCACAGGTCATCACTCCGACCCACAACAGCATGAACAAGCAAAGCTGAAAAAGCACCGAGATGAAACCTGCAAAAGCATGTGGTTCCGGCCTGTTCATCTCATTTTCAGCACTCATCGAGTATGCGTGGCGAGAGCCTCAGGGCGGCTTCCCATTTTCGATGGCATTCCCTGGGGATCCAAATAGCCCAAAGTAGGTCCTATTTATAGACTTTAGGCCCCAAAGTAGGTACCATTTGAATACTTGGAGCCCTTGGGATTGACACCACTCTGAAGGCTGCTCCCGGATGCAGTCCCCTGATTACGCAGACTAGGGAACAGGAGTTTTGCATCGTGCCAGTCTCGTAGGCTCAATCCTGCAACAAGGAAGGCGTGAGGGTTGTGCAGGTTCTCACTTATTTCAGGCTTTAGTCAGATGCTTCGGATTTAGCTTAAGCTTGCGGAGTTTCGGGAAGCAGTGTACAGTGTAGCAGAGCCGTTGTTAAAGCTTTCATAGGCTGGCTACGGCTACAAAGCGCTGTTCTTCCCGTCTTGCACTTCCCCAAAGCCTACAAAGCTCGCTGTCCTGTCGATGGCATCCACAAAAGGAATACTGTTGAGACTCTGCCATCCAGCTGCAGACTTGGGAGCCGTTTCGGTGCTGGTCAAAGGTAGCACCAACAGGAGGAAGCATGATCCTAATCGTAATGCATGAACATGACCAATCTTCGGTAACCCAATGATAACCAGCAGGACTTATCTTCGGTAACACCATATGATAACCACTGACACTAGCATTGGCACAGCAACCCTGGCAAAGCCGTGGATGAAATTCCCGGCCAAACGACACAGGCCCACGCGGTTAACGGAACTAGCTGGAAGATGTGGGGAATGCTCACAGCTCAAGTGCTTCTTAGGTTTCAAATCTTTCGGGCTCGGGGATGAGTCCGGCTCAAGCGCGATTCATAAGCTTATTGGGACATGCAGTGGCTTGACCAGGTTGACAGCTGCACTATGCTGGCTGACAGAATCATCCGTGCAGACACAAGACATCCGCGTAAGAAGTATTTCAGATGAGCAATCTTCTTCCCCCCCCCCCAGTTCTCATCGGAAACGCAAGCAACATTGTGCCTTGAATCCCAGGCCCCAGACCCTTCTCGGAACCCTGGCAACCAAAATCCTTCAGCCTGAATTTGAAAGGACCCCGTCATGTTTCAACCCGAGCCTGCAGATGGCTGAGCGCTGGGACTGTTGCCGCCATGAGGCCAACGCTCGCAAGAAGCTACTCTCACAAGTGCCTAGCTTGTCCAGGTCTTGCAAACGCGGGTAGAGGGAGAGCTAGTTATTGAGGCTTCTCCCGAACCCAAACGCTTTCAAAGACAACAAATGCCTGTAAGATGTCTTCCGCGGCACCGTCTCTGTCAGGCTCAGATTTGGGGTCTTCAGGTTGGGTCAGAGGATTTGAGCTGCACGCTTCAGGCTTAAGGCTTGCAATTTGGGGTTTTCCGGCTCTGACAATTGCTGCATCAATCAGGATCGGTTGGTGCATGTCATGCCTGCAGGAGCTGTAGCATGCAGATCTTGGAAAGATGGTTAGATTGGTAGGGCGTCGGCGACCTCTTAATTTGTTAAGCTTGTGTACCCGGCGCCGATGCTGCTGGTAGCGGGACAAAAAAGAGGGTTCAGCACGTGGGATGGCCGAGTGCCTACACAAGGATACCACAAAGGAACATGGAATACGACAGGTTGAGCGGGCAAACCAAAGTTTTTGGGAGAGGCCCATAATTCAAGTGACATAGAACAGAGTAACAGCTGATAAAAGCCACATTCTGCTCAGAAACTGAATTTGCGAAGGAAGTCAAGTGGTCACGCCATGTTTACATCGTTGATTTCCAAAACTACACATGACATGGGGTGCGCATGATGTTTGCTAACGGGTGCAGATCCATTCTGCTTTGGTCGGTCGGTGCTGGTAAGACTGTACACTGTACAATGTGCTTCACTGCCAGCAACCTGGGCGACAGGGAGGGAACGCAAAGCAACGGCCCAGCGCCCGATGCAAACTTCGACCAGAAAAGGATTCCCAGTATTCCTCAACCCCAAACCATTCCCCGAATCCTAAGCCAGCCAGAGTCCTTGTTGCCCAAAGCCCAATCCTAAACCCTAAACGCCCAAAGTCAAAATCCGCAGTCCAAGCGCCTGTGAGCGAAGTCTAAACAGGGTGTTGAATATTGCAGGGTTTAATTTCAAATAAGGTGTAGCAACTTGTAATCTCAGATACAAGGCTTCGATTCTTGTAGGGTTTAAGTTTAGGATTTGAAGTTTAGCAACTTATAACAGGATTTTTCTAGTTTTGGGTTTGGTGGGGTGCAGGGCTTTTGGACACTTTTCCACGCTCACACTCCCACAAGGAAGGCAAGGCTCCACTTAGTCCTGACTTTAGGGTTTAAAGTTTAGGGTTCTGAAAAGACTCGAGGCTTAGAGTCTTGGGTCCGGGTTTGTGCTTAGTCACTTGGGGTTTGAGCCTTACCAAAGCTGTCTCAGGCCATTTCTCCTAACTAACCGTTGCTTGAGATATGTCATGTTTGCACAGAGCTCTTTTCCAGGCAGTCGCGCAGGGGGTGTCTTAGCTGGACACCCGGACGCTGGATCGATAAACCTCACTGATTCCTGCAAAAGTTTACCGGGATCTGGCCGCCGCAGCAGTTGGCGTGCAGTCAGAATTGGGGCTCCCGTCTTGCATGGCGTAAAAAAGGCTATCCCTTCGAACCTAGTGAGCTCAGCTCTGAAAACCGAAACTCTACATGCTCGAAACTGCGAAGAATCCAGCATAGCATCCACCACGAACGCCCAGAAAAGAGCCCCCACAGCCTACGTTGATGCAAGAGGCGGCGAAGGCCTGAGACTTCAGATTTACACTGTACCCAGAGAGCCCAATACCCCTTAAGTAAGGAATATACCTTAAATCATAGTATTAAGGCCCCTATAATATAAGGTATATTCCTTATTTAAGGGGTGTTGGGCTCTCTCGGTAGCTCTACTCCCATCATCCATCTGCACGACCAAAGCCGACACGCCTGCAAACCCCGTAATAGATCTGCTATAGAGCCCTGATACCACTCCGTTCGGGCATAAGCTTTTTGCCTGGGCACTATAGAGCCATGCCTAAATATCAGAGATCCTATAATCAAAGCCTATAGACCTCAAGACTCTCGCAGCTCCCAAAAAGTAACCTGCACATGTGAAGACTTCTCCAGGGCCCGGCCCCATTTTACTCATCTGCATAGCTCAGAGGTTTTTAGGCTTACGGCTTAGGAAAGTTTAGGATGCTGTAGTTGCCTTTTTTCCGAGTGGCTTTATACCCTCAGCATTGTGGTTTCCTGTGCTCTGCATGTAGTGACCGCAGCAGATGCGACCGTGAATGTGGGGAAAACTTCGGACTTCGAACCCTGAGCCTGCTCTTCGCCTTTTGCACCAAATCTGCAGTTCCACTTCACCACTCGTTGCTCGGGCCGGAGACCGGAATGCGCTCTGGTGACATACCTTGAAATGTTTTTTTAGTGCGGGGTCTTAGGATTTAGGTTTGTATGGCCTTTTGGTTGAGGCGCTGAGGGTTTCGGTAGGTTTTGTTTAAGACTTGTTGGATTCTTGGGTATTACGGCTAGGACCCTGTTACGGTGTGTTGCCGTTCAGGTCCCGGTTTAGGCTTTTCAGGTCATTCATTGTCGGCTTGGGTTATGGTGCTGCTAAGGACCCCAAGACCCGAAAGTTATTAGGGGTTTTTGAGGGGTTCAGGGTTCCATATAGGGTTTCAACGAACGGTTGCGGACTAAGTTGCGGAGCTGCGAGCCCTACAACCTAAAACGGCAACATCTACAATCCGGGAAGTGACATTCTATGAATCTTGGTAAGTGAGGGGCTCCTGTATACAGGCATCCTGATAGTGGAGGAATAGGTTTATAAGGTTTAGGGTTGAGGGTTGAGGGAGGAATTACTTATAGTCTTTCACTTCACCGCATTTTCTTTCATATCGGGGACTTCTTGTAACATTCGATGCTGGCATCCGTAAAGGCGCCAACTGAGAAGATGAGCACAACTTCATGCAGGAACGCATGGGGAATTCCTGCGATACAAAAGCCAGCGGGATGAACTTTCAAGGAGAAGGAAACACTTCTGTGGCGCTGCTTCGCTCCCTACAGCAACCCGTTTCGGTCAGGAGCTGGGGCACATGAGATTCAACGGTTTCTTAACTTCAACATACTTCAGCAGGAGACACCTGCCAAGACGTGTCATGATCGTATGCGGCTCAATAACAGGCGTCAGACTTGTAGCCCCCTTGACGATGTGACTCCATCATCATCGCATCCACGCTTGGACTGCAACTAGAATCCTCAAGCAAACCGACCTAAACCCTGAAGAACTTTTTGCATCTGGTCTGCAGCGAACCCTGGAAACCCCCTAAACCCTAAACCCTGAACCCTATATAAGCCTTGAAACCTAAACCCTAAAACCCTAAACCCTGGAAACCTAAACTGTTGATGCTGGGTTGTCATGTCGGTCGCTCCAGGGGTCTACAGTGTACCACGTCCCGAAATCCTAAACCGGGCTTGGGCGCTTAGGGTTTAGGAATCAGGGCTTAGGGTTTTAGGGTTTAGGGCTTTAGGGTTTTAGGGTTTAGGGGCTTTCGGCTGCGCTTGACTCTGTGGCTGGGAAGTCTGCGTCATCCGACTCAGGCCTTGAGCCCCCGAAGCCTCTTGCAGCCTGAACGCTTTAGGGTTTAGGGTGAAGCCCCTTGTCGACGCCCCGTCCCTGGTTGGATGGAAGATGGTGAAGGTGGGAAAAGAAGTCAGGGATCGTCATGCTTCGGGCAAGACTTGCTGCAACATTGCGCTTCTAATGCGACGTCTTTTGCTCTTCCTTTCCCCGGATTT